ATTCACTTGTGAATGATGTTGTTGGGTATAATGGGGGGAGTGTATGAACAAAGAGAATCCGGATAAGTCATGGAAGTACAAGGAAGAAATCTGTAACCTAAATGTAATCATAGCCGTAGCTAATAATGAAATATGTAACAGTGGGTCATACTGGGGTGCCTTAAATAGAATATGACCGGAGCGATCATGGCCGTGGCCGTAGTAAAAATAATGACTGGAGTTAACGTGGTCGTAGTCATAGTAAAGATGATGACCGGAGTTATGGTGGCCGTAACCACAGGAAAAAGTGATCATCGAAGTCATAGTGTAACCAAGGTCATGATAAAAAATGATGACTGGAGTCATAAAGGCCAGGGCCGTAATAAAATATGATGACCGGAGACATAATGGCCGGAGCCGTAATAAAATATGATGACCGGAGTCATAATGGCCGGAGCCGTAATAAAATATGATGACCGGAGTCATAATGGCCGGAGCCAAGGTAGAGTATGTGACATGTAGTCACAGTAACCAGGACCGAAGTAAAACATGTCTCTGTGGCCGGAGCCGAAGTAAAACACTATGCCAGTTAAAAAAGTGTAATTGTATAAGTAAACAGAAGTGTTGAGCTAGGCTTAAGTATAAAGACGGGAGTCAGAATGGCCGGAACCATAATAAAATATAATGACCGGAGTCATAATGGCCAGAGCCGAGGTGAAATGTAATGCAACATTATTGTGGCCAGGGCCGAAGTGAAACACTTGCAAAATTGAGAAAAGTAAACGAAGGTGTTGAAATGGGCGTGAGTGGGTTCGTCTGAAAAATCTGACAAAGGGGTAGCATGTGGTGTGACAGTTGTCCTTGGAATGACGTGCGCAATAAATGCGGCCATAAAAAGATAACTGCAACAGTTAAACGGGCAAATTTAAAAATGAACCGTCAAGTTCAAAACGGTACCGTTTGGGGTTGTCAGTCGAATTCCAAACGGTGTCAATAGGAACCGTAAGATTAAACGAATCTCAGCCGTTGAGATCTAATTTTGCCCAGAAGTATAAATAGGCATTTTTTCTGCAGAAAGAAGTTTACTTACATTTCTTTTCCTGCAAAACTTCTGCGAGAAGCTTTACTGTGCGTTTCCTGTGCGTGAACTACAGCATCAACTAGGGATCCCTACATCAAGTCTTTCGAAACCGAAATCAGGTAATGTAGACGAAACTCTGATTTTAAGTTAATCGAAGTGTCTCTCTCCTTTCTCCCTTTCTGTGATTGATTTAGAGTCCTCTGAAGAAAGTTAGGGTTAGAGATGAGAAGGATTTTGAATGTGCAATAGAGGGGTTTTTTTTTTTTTTTTAAATGGGTCCTGACTTCATTCCTCCCCTCTACTTCGTGCAGAGTTTGAGAAAATGTCCTCAGAAGGAACAGAAAGTGTGGTTGGGAGTGAGGTGATGCCTTTAGACTATGGGAGCATGGACTCAGAGAGTAGTCCATCCCCATCTAGTTCGGAGAAGATGGTGGAGGGGGTGAGAGGGGATGAGGTGGTGGAGGTTGGGGGGAATGAGGTGGTAGGGGTTGAGGGAGATCGCATACCTATCACCGTAGTAGAAGTAGAGGGTAGAGGGGAGAGAGATTATGATGGGAATGCAAAGATAGTGGAGGAGGTGAAGCAGTACCGATCTAAACTAAGGACCAGGGATAGCTTGGGTCACTTAGTAGAAACGTATGAAATCTCTTCCCGAGTGTTAGTTAGGCCAGTTGGGGTAGAAGAGAGGGCGTGCTCTGCTCCTCGGGATCACTGGATGCCTGTGTATTCCCACTATTTGATAGCGGGACTCAGGTTTCCGCTTCCTGAGTTGCTAATAGGTTTACTGTTATATTACAACATAGGGTTGACACAGTTGGTCCCCAACGCAATAAGGGTAATAATAGGTTTTTTAGTTTATTGCCGAGCTCAGGGGATTAGTGTGCCAACTGTAAATATGTTTAAGTACTTTTTTGTTTTAAAGGGGGGAAGTAGGAGGGATAATGGGTGGTATTATTTCACCCCTAAGGTAGCTAGGAAGGAGAGTAGGTCTTTATTCACTGCAGGTCTTTCATCCATTAAGGGATGGAAGGAAAAATTCTTTTTTGTGGATGATACGGAGTGAGGGAAGGGGGATGCCGAGGTGAGGGAGTTAGCCTCCTGGAAGGCTAAAAGGGCCAACCAGAATAGGTTTAGCTTAAATGAGGATGAGGAGGAAGAAGTGAGGAAGTTGGTGAGGAAGGGGGGGGGATTTATTGAATATTTTGGACCTCACCAGCGCACAATGCATAGAAGCTGCTGAGCTCTATGGGCCAAGCGCTTTAAGTGAAGGTTGGTTTAGTTCTGCATTGTAGTACTGAATGTAGAATATAAAACTATGTGATTGATATTATGTTTTCTTGTTTTGCAGTTGAAATGGACCAGTTTCTGAACACTGCTAGAGGAGCAGCTATCCCCAAGAAGCCAAGGAAGAAGTCAAGGACTTCAACCAAGCAAGTGGATGAGGGGAGGGCTGGGAAGGAGGTAGTGCCCTTGGCTTCAACTGAGACGGAGGAGGAGGTGCCACTGCTGAAGAGGAAGGGTTGGGAGGAGAGGATGGCACTGCAGAAGAAGCAGAAGGTGGTGGAGGAGGAGAGGGGGAATGAGGTTCCTGAGTTTGTACCTCAGCCTCCTCTTGTTGAGCTGAACCCTCAGCTCAGACGGTTGGAGGAGGGGGCTGAGGTACGAGCTCCTGGTAAGGGAAAGGGCCCTGTTCCCCCGGTGGTGCCTCAGAGCAGCCTGTTCGAGGTGAAGAACATGACGGGGGCTAGGTGGTTCATCAACAGCACCTTCCTCGAAGTGGACAAACGCAACACGCGGGAGGAGGCTCTGAGGTATGGGGGAGCATCTGTTGTGAAGCACGTTCTTGAGGTACGTTAAATTATTGATGTTGTTTATTTAATATGTTTCTTCCTCTCTTCTTTCTCTTTGAACTTCTGCTTTGATTTGCAGAGCGCGAGCTGGGTGAATGGTCTAGCCCAGGAGTTCATGGAGAGCGTGAGGGAGCGCTCACTCTTGCAGAGGCAGTGTGACCAGCTGCAGAAGGAGAAGGAGGAGCTAGAGAAGAAAAATAAAGAACTGTAAGAGTCGTTGAACAAGGTGGTTCCAACTGTGAAGCAGTTGGAGCAAGAAAGGTCTTCCTTGAGCACCAAGCTCGGCTTTGAAGAGAGCAAACGAAGGATCTTTGAAAGCGAACGTGAGGCTCAGGCGCAAGAACTAAAGCTGACGAAGGAGGCTTTCTTGGAGCTGAAGGGGAATGTTCAGACCTTGGTGCACAATGGGATGAAGGAGCACATCAGCAACTTCATCAGCTCCAGCTCGTTTGACAACATCGTCAACTTATACCGGCTGCCTACTGCCATCATTGCATTCACGAACTGCAGGAAGAAGGTGAAGGCAGAATATCCCGAAGTGGATATTACGAAGATCACCTTCGGAGAGCAAGAAGAAGGAGTGGAGGAAGATGGTGAGAGCATGTCAGCAGACTTTCTTCCTCAGATCAAACTGAGGTGGGAGGATGATGCAAACGGACGTGCTGTTTTCCCTCCACAGTTCGACTTCGAGTTCGTGGCAGTGGAGGAAGAAGGGGCAGAGGTAGAGGAAGATGAGATGGAGGCAGGAGTGGAGGGAGCTGAGGTGGATGAGAGCCAACCAGTTCCAGAAGTGGAGATTCATCCAGTTCCCTCCGACGATGAGCAGCCTCCTCTGCCAGACGAGCAGCAGCCAACACAGCCACCTCCTCCAGCTGAGCAGGAGCCAGTGGAGCCACCTCTCCCAATAGAGGAATAATTTTGTTTGTTTTTAATTTTTTTGTAAAGACATTTAATCAGTTTGTAATACTTATATTATTCTGAATGAAAATTTATTTTTGAAATTATGTTTTTATTTGTGTTTGCCTTTTTGTTATTATATATTGATAGAAGAACTGAGACTACTTTTTAAAAAAAAAAGTTAATAAAAAGAAGTTAATCACTTTAGAAACGAGCTACAGAGAAAGAACCTTCTTCAAGTGAGTTAAGAACAAGTACATCACTGTAAATGAATTGAGAGGAAATAAAGCACTTCATATGTGAAGTGACATTTATTAACAAAAGTGAGGTTCAAGGAATGGATGAACTGATTGACCTCAGATACATAGAATAAGAGGTAAAATGAATCTTAACAAACACGGAGTGAGAAGTGTAAGGAACAGTAAGACATAGATCACTTGAAAGAATTTTATTAGGGGTAAAATTCAAAGTAGTCAATACCGTACCGGTATGCGTACCGGTTTTGCTACTGAAACGGTATGTACCGGATACCGGAATTTTTCG